TTCTTCCTGACATTTAATTTTGGTCTATTGGTTGGCTTCAACCCCGTTTTTGACCATTGGAATCCAAACAGAATTCCAAAGGAATAGTCGATATTCTAATTGCGCTTGGGCATTTCCCTAGCATTGTCTTCTGTAACCAGTTGCCCACATTACTTTTAGTTCTGATCTCACTAATCTCAAATGACTGTATTAAATGGGTCAAATGAATGATAATTCATACTTTTAAAACTGTTTCTGTCCAACTTTTGTCTTTTGATGCCAAATAAATGGAAAATACGGTATAAAAAGGAAAACAAAAAAATACCAATGTGGATTTGAGAATTTCCTGTATCTCTTTGCCCTTGAATAGCTCATACATATTAGATTATAATGCAGATTCTAAATACATGTTAACATGAGTTGTCATGGTCCACCTTGCTATACCAATGCATAAGTAAAATATTTTAGTATATAGAAATAGGATGTTTAGATTTAAACAGATGATGAATTAAGGGAAACTTCAAATGTGTACAATATGAAGAAGGAAACCATGCCTTCTAAACGATGTGATAGGTTGAAAATTCTAAAACGTCTAATTTTTTTCTGTTGACAATATCAAAACCTAATCCAGTGTGTACATAAGTGGATTGGCTTGGTCACTCACTATTGCTTACTTTCAAAGAAATACTTGGTTTTCTCCTGAAGCAATTGATGGCATATTCAGAATTGCCAAACTGTTCCGAAGCTGGGAGTTTAGAAGCAATGGCGATAAATGAAATGGGTTTCTGCACTCCAGACCCTCTTCCCTCTTTGTAGGTATCATCCGCCTCTCGCCTTTTCTGCTGCCCAGAAGTAATGTTTTTGCTTCTGTGAAGTGATTTACCCTTGGACGGCTGCTCTGTGTTTGATGCAATCCATCGAGACATGAATCCTGCTGCCCGGGAAAGGCCATTACAGGAGAATAAAAATCTAAAACACATTTGAGTTTTATTATATTCGCACTGCTTTTATTTAAATGTGGGACCGAGACTCCGTCTTGCTGGGTTGAGCTCCTTGGTTTCCAAGTCAAACAGCTGACTCAAAGAAGAGAATCTATTCTTGCGGAAAACAGTTGATCCTGATGAAGATGATGGCAGTGAGCACCGTTTGCAGGGGCTGGGAGCTTGTTAACGATGTAGACTGCAAGGCCCTCCCAGACCTGCTCAGTCAGAGCTGCACTGGAGCCAGACCCCGCCACGCCTGTGCACGCTGAGCCAGAGAAGGGCAGTGTCGGCGTGTCGCGGCACCAAAGAAAGGAGGGACAGGCGGAGAGTCTCTGCCAGTCGCTGCCCACAGCGATTTGCGTAGTAAATACATGTGATGGGAGTTTCGAAGAACTAGCAAACTTGGATTTACCTTAAAAGCTTGAAAAACTGTAAAATTTGTTTTTCTGAAAACCCACAAGACTCATATTGTAACTGGCACGGTGTTTGATTTAGGTCGGCCGTTGAGTTCTTGGGACGTCTGGGTTAGGGACGCAGGAGCGTTGGTTTTTTCTGCTGCGTGTATACGAAGCTGGTTAGAACCTGGATTCAATTTCAGGCAGCAAACCAACCTCTTAGCTGGGTTATAAACTGTTCTCTGGACCCTTTGTGACTTTGTTTCTGCCGTAGTAAAAAAGCGAGCCTCTCTGCACTCCCACCACTGCCTTCTGTTGGAAACAGGGCAGAGCAGGGGGCTGAGGAGAGATCTAACCGTCATGAAGATTCGAACTGATCACCCACCTCGAGCTCATTTCTGTTTTCTTCCTTTCTCGATATTAATATATATGTAAATCTAACCTCTTCTTATCTCACATCAGTTTTGTATGAGGGAACTAAATTGGGCAAATAATTTTCTATGATAAACCTTTGTTCAAAGCCTAAAGCACTGCACAGCTTTCAGGATTGAAGTTTAAATTTTATAAATTAGCTAATTTCATTAACTGGTTCTTTATAGTGCTAAAATTCATCAACAGTTTGTCTAGTTTGGGCTCAAATAAACAAAGAGGCCGTTTTCTTGTGCTGATGCACATTTCCGGCCTTAGCAGAGAAATGCACCTGCTGGTTATAAATGAGCTCTCCCGTTATTTCTCAGCGGTTCACAGAGCTTTGCTTTGTGAAGTAGCATCAAGCACTGGGTATAAAATAGTGAGTCAGAGTGTTTTCAGGTTTTAGGGTAATAATTTGGAGGCTCCTGAAAGTATGGGCCATGTCTTATTTGTCATCAGAGATCAAAGGCCTGGCCTCCAGTGTTGCCGTAAGTATGCTTTGGTAGTTACGCGCCCGTGTTGTGGAGACTCAGAGGCAGTGCCGTCTTCAGAGAAGCTGCGTCACAAATGGTGTGGGACATGATGAGTTGCTGGGCCGGGACAACGTTCTTTAGTCTCGATTGCACAATGCTTTATAAAACTATCACAGCGCACGGCTTAGTTGCTGTCACCTCTCCTCCCACCTGCTGTGTCCTGCTCCCGGTCGCAAGCATCTGCAGGAAACGCCGGCTTTCTTACCGCATTTCCACACGTTCGCAGATGGGCTCATGATTGCTTATTTCTCTACCTTTAGAACCCCCGTGAATGAGCAGCGTCTTATTGAAGGGAACCGCTGTTCGCTCTCCCCGCGGACGTCAGGGTAAAACCTGGGTCCTCTCGCAGGTGACCGACGTTTATGCCGCAGCAGGCCCAGTGCATCCAGCCGCGGTGACTTTCTGAAACAGCTGTCTCTGCTCCAGCCACGTCACCGTACTCCTAGCGGTGTTTTCCTGATTGCGAATGGCTTCGTTCGCATCGATTGCACTCTGAAATGCTTTGCGTTTTAATTCAGCTTTTCTTTTTTTTAGCTGTGTTTTGGGGTGATATTGCCTTAGATGATGAAGACTTGAATATCTTCCAAATAGACAGGTCAATTGACCTTACACAGAACCCCTTTGGAAACTTTGGACACACCACAGGTACGGTTGATTATTTGATTAATTTTGTATTCATTTTGGGGAAAATATGCTCTTGAAATGTTACCAGTACGCTCTCTGAGTCATTTTTAATATCCCACTGATCAACTTTGATTTCCTGCACGCAGATGAACATATTTAGAAATTTAGGTTTTATTCATGGTTTTCATTTTATTGGTTAGTTTAACAAACATGTTTCAGTGTTTGCTGAGTACCGGGCCTGGTCTGAGTGCTTTGCCGATATGAACTCGAATTCTCATGACAGCCCCACGAGGGCAGGTGCTGATACTGTGAGTTCCAGGTAGGGACTGAGGAGTAGAAGGTTATGTATTAATAGCTTTTTATCGTGGCATGGTCGGGAAGTGGCCAAGTCAGAGCCGGCCTTGGGTTCTGATGACGGCCATATCTCC